CACACACACACACACACACACACACACACACACACACACACACACACCAAACCAAACAAACACAAAATGAAGCAGGTATTAAAACAATAACAAAATGATCTGTGAGTGCCGGTTGGGTGTCTACTGTCCATGGGGCACAGCCATGTCCGCTGAGAAGAAAGGACTTAAAAGGGAACACTTGGTTACGGAAGTAGAGGACGGTGGGATTGATCAGCTCAGCCTGGGGAGCTATCAAAATGGCAAGTAAGGGTTTTGCTGTTTCAGGGAGAGCCAAGCTATCTGTCATTACCTTAGGCTCAAGGGGGACACAGGATGTGCTCCAAAAACACAAAGGGTTACTCAGTACCAGGAAAGTGACAATAACCATGTATACCCACAGTTGATAGACCAAAAAAGAAAAACAAACAAACAAACAAACAAACAAAAAAAAAACCCGCCACTGTCTATTGCAGAGGGCCCCTGTGAGCTCTGGAGTCCTGCTGGCCCCTTATTGAGAGCAGGTGCCACCTCTCCACCCACTCTGTGCCCCTGAATAAATGTATCCTGTCTTCACCTTTGACGTGGACCTCCTGTCTCTCTCTTCTCCTCTTCAGCTGGTCTTTCTGCTCTCCTGGAATCACTGTGGGGACACAGCAGGTTTCAGGAATTAACATTTCCATGTGGCTAGTTTGGGGGTGTCAAATTATGACTTCCTCTTCCCCACCAACAAGCTCGTTAATATGTGCTCCCTAAGGACCAAGTTCCAGGCATTGACTGCAGGACTGGAGGCTCGGTGGGTGGATGTCTGAGTGCCAAACACACTGCTCGGTTACTCGCTGGGTGCTCGGAACCCCATCTGAGAACAAAAGTGCAGTGAGCACCAGGTTCCCCAGATGGCAGAGCCCAGCCCCGAGGCCATAGTGCCTGCCTTGCTTTGAGCTCACCCGCTCCGATAGATTAGTAAACTCATAAGAGAGACCACGGGAGGCCCATCCGCACACCACTCAGCCCTTCCTTCAGGCTAGCGATAGGCTGCTTTGCCTGGCTGGCTTGGTAAGGCCAATATGAAGGAAAAGAGGAGCCAAGAGTTTCATAGCACCTATCTAGGGAACAGTGGTCCTGGGGCAAGCATGGTGGCTTTTACCACCCAAAATGGGTCTATATGCAGTCTCTGTGCAGCTGAGAAGACCATGCAGTCTCAAATACAGATAAAAGATCCAGGGACCACAAAGAAACCAAATGGGTAGCCCAGGTCAGGGGGTCCTTTATATGACGTGGTAAGACTATAAACTCCTCATGCTGTTTGCAAAGAAGCTGAAAATACAAGGAGACTGATGGGTTCTTCACTCTTTAAATATTCCCAGTTCGTTCTGGTTTGTTCACAGACTATACGCTGTGGCTGTAGCCTGTGTTCTGAAAGGCAAGGAAGGCTGAAGACCTGGCTGACCTATCCTCCACCCACCTTTGTGAAGCCCCTGGCTTAGCATTGCCCACCAGTGACTTGTACCTGGGTATGCATGGGACTAGAAGGTATGTCATACCTGGAGACATCTGTAGTGTGTGTGCAGAAGTGTGCACAGGCCTTGTCGTCTGTCTCCACACAAGCACAGCGCAAATGGGTCCGTGGAGAAGGCTGGGAGCTTTCCGGAAATGGTCCAGAGGACCTCTTTCCCCGGAGGCTTCCTCTATAGTTGGACAGTCCATAGGGCACAGTCTGTCTGCAGAGCACAGAGGAACGTTGGGGGGGGGGGTCTATTCAGCCACTCCAGAGTGGGACACCCCCTATAGCATGCTGGCTGGGAACTGTCTGGAGTGAACTCGGTACTGAAATGGGCTGCTGAGATGCAAAGACTTGCTGGAGACCCAGGGAAGAGCTGACCGCACTAGCAGCCCTACAGAGCTGGCACAAACACATGCATTTAGGGGAGCCCTTGGCCTCACTGAGATGCCTGAGGCTGCAAGCGTGCCCCAGGTCCCAGGCTCTGAGCTCCTCCTAGCACACAGTTGCCTTTCTCTCTTTTCCAACTCGAACCAAAAAGGTCCAACTCCTTCAAAGCAAGTCCTGAGACCTCTAGCTAGTCCCTAGCCTGTCCTCAATTAGTAAAAATCCTTCCAAGCATGACAGCCCGAGCTAAAGCCCCAGAATGCATGTAAAGAAGCTGCGTGTGGTAGCTTGTGCTTAAAACTTCAATGCTGAGGAGGAGAGAGGCACGAGACTCCTTGAGGCTTGGTGGCCAGCCAGCCTAACTGTTTCAGCTGGTGAAAGAACCAGTCTTCTAAAAAGGCGGATGGCTCCTAAGGAGTGGCACCCTGCTGGCTGACCAATGGCCTCCTCATGCACACGCATACACAGATACTCACATGAACCATTGGACTGTCCTGCCAGGAACCTGTCCTTCCATTACCCAAGCTCCAGACAGGGAGGTCTACTTGATCCATGTGCTCTTACTTGTCTGGGGCCTAATCTGGTGCCTATAAGGCCTTCCATACCTGAGGCTGTCCCTAGCAACTTTAGTGCTAACTGAACTCCATGGCAGGGCACACAGCAAGCCTCCCAGCTGGCACTAGGGAAAAATGGGGCAGATGCGATTACAGTTATTAGAGATCCACCCTAGCCCCTGAATGTAGCATCCCTCAAAGGGACAAACACCAGCGGGTATACCCGATGCTCTCCAGGAGCCGCCGCCACCACCTCGGTGGGGAGGCTGAGAGAATTCATCATGGGAAGGTCTTATTGTGTGGCAAAAGCTGTCTGAAATGATCAACCGCTTATGGTTATGGTTGGCATTAGGAGGCGTGTCATCTAGAGCAATAAATGCTTAAATCTGGTTTTAAGAGCGAATGCAGCCCAACCGTGGCTCATTCTCCAAAGAGGAGAGACTTCTAGAGTCGAGTGAGAAGAAGTTAAAACCGCATATTTAATTCATTAATGTAACTGAACATGATATGGGAGACAAATTACCAAGAACTTGAGGAAACTTATGGGGCCAAAGGCCTTTTTCCAGTAAATCTGGCCCTTCTTGTTCATCCCTGTTTCTGAGTCCCACAGAGTATCACCAATTATCCACCTCAAAGGGTGGCCTTGTACCCTCTCTGTTTTGAAAATAAAATGAAATTGAATTTCTTTTCCTTAGAAGCACGCAGCCGTAAAGTCTTTTTTGGGGTGTTGAGGAGAGTCAGGCAGGGTGCCTGCAGCTTGGAACAGCTGCCTTCTTCCATGCTGGGTTGGAGACCAGAGAAGAGCACCCCACCCAGCCCCGTGCCCCTTTGCTTCTGCCTGTACCAAGCACCCTAAGAGGCAACAGAGCGGGGTTCCCTGCTAACCCACACAGACCCAGCTGCTGAGCAAGGTGGAGGAAAGTGGAAGGATCCAGTCCTATTGGGAGCTGGATCTTTTCTCAGGAACAGGGCCAGGGAGAGGGGAGAAGAAGAATGTGGCCATTGTTATGGGTCCAGATTTGGCTGAAGGTGTATCTTTCCAGTAACGGGGTTACAGTAAATCTCTAAGTGTTGACGTTAAAGCCAGTCCTCCATTTCTTGGTGAAAATCACACACGAGGAACAGCTGTGCTCCTGTTCCTTCATCAGCATAGAGACCCGCAATTTTGAAATTGCTGTCGGGTGATCATGCATCAGTGGGTGTAGAGCCACTCAGCTGAAGCAAAAGGCTGCGTCTAAAGTGTTTTAAGTAAGGAAATAAGAATGGGTGTTTGTTAATAGAGACGTTTTAGCACTTTCCCAGCAGCCTCGAGCAAAAAACGCCATGTACAAATGCCCCCGACAGCTTCAAAGAGTGTTTACAGAGCTGAGCCCCCTCCCCAAGGGATGGAAGGCTCTTAGGAGCTGGCCAGAGCTCCTTGGTATGTCCTGCCCCAGTGAACATGTATGGGGTTTGGAACAAGAGCTCAACATGGATGCCCAGCTACTCCAGGTCTAAGTATACAAGTTGTTCATAACCTCTCAGAAAAGCAGCCTTATGTTAGGGGTGCAAGTATTCCTTGGGGTTCTCAGATGAAATCTGGTAACCCAAATGACACCGGCAGCTTCTCTTCCCTCTTCATCCCACACCAATGCAGCCTCGTCTATTCCCAGGCTACGTCCATGATCTGTCTACACACCAACCTACAGGCACCTACCTGAAGCCCTGCTGTGCCCTCATGTGTCAGACACTAGATAATATCTATATGGCCTTGAGGACATTCAGGCAGGGGACGCAGGGCTCAGAATACTGGGTACGCTCTCTGGGAAAAGGTGTTTTTAGTTTTAGAGATTCACTGGAATGATGACCTAAGGAGGGCCACCAGTGGGAGAAAGCAGAAACAAAAGAAAAATAGCAGAGAGCTAGGCTTTTATTTCTTCTGTACCAGTGATGAACTTAACACAAAGTAGAGTAAAAACTGGGGTAGGAGGATCACTTCCACCTAAGCCTAGGCTGTGCACTGAGTTCCAGACTAGGGTGAGCTACAGAATGAGACCTTGTAGCAAGAAAACAACAAATCACAATAAAACACTAAAAAAAAAAAAAAAAAAAAAAAAAAAAGAAAGAAAAAACTGCTACTGAGCCTATGGTTGCTATTTATGAGGTAATCCCAGTCTGACAAAACCGGATTCTATGCAGATTAATGAGCTCAGCCATGGAAAACGTCAGTAGGAAAAACTCCACAGGCTCTTACACACCTAACATGTAGCTAGGGTTATTTTAAGTGTGAAATATAGATACATCCATGCCTACAAGGATTCACATGCTTCTGGGAGATGACAAATTGAAAAAGGAGAAACATCAAGCCTGTGTGTTCAAGCATAGAAAAGGTACACAGAGTAGAGAGAGGTTACTTGTTAATTCCATTATTAAGTCGTAAAGCATGCCACCCTCTCAGTATACAAAAAGATTGTCAGGCATTTGCCAGAATGAGATGCTGCATGGAGCATGTTCAGCAAAGAGTAAGCAATGAATGGAAATCGGGTCCTTTGATTATCTAATTGGTTTGAGAAGCTGTTCCATCAGTTGAAAAATTCCCCTCATCAGGCATGCTGTGTTTGTGATGTGTGACTAAGCGATAAAGGAACCAGAAAACCACAACAATGCTCCTCCCTGCCCTGCCTCGCCCTGGCAGGCAGGCCATGCACCACCACCCATCTCACAAAGACTCTGCACTTCATCTGGGACTGGCCTTTGTCACCATTCCCTGAATGGGCAACAGGAAGTACTCCACAGTGGAAGCGTGAGAACGGAATTAAACTGGCTGAGAACCTTGGACCAGACAGAACAACACTCAACCCAACTGCGGCTGCCTACCGTTGAGCAGTAGGTTTAGATAACGCAATGCTTTGTGGAGACAGGCAGTCTTCCCATCTGTTGATATCAGTTATAGCACAGAGCTGCACACGAGAAAAGCAGATGAAGGGGGTGGATAAACAAAACGCTCTCCATCATACCTACACATGCGGTGTCTAGGGCTCTCTCTGTGTGTTTGTATAATAAATCATCTCTCAACTTATGTACGGAGAACACTCATTATTTAATGAGCGACGGAGATGCCAGAATCTTATTTATCACAGTGTCTTTATTTTTCAAGTTTTCCCAAATGTCATAGACAAATGTTATTAAATATTAAACTCCCCAGTCGCCCGCATTCGTCTTCATCTGCAGAGCCACACTGAACACCCTTCATTTATCTCTCTGTGAGAAGTTTTTAAACAAGGAAAATGACTTTAGGAAACACACACACACGCACACACACACACACACACACACGCACATGTGGTTCTCAGGTTCAGGTTAGAAAGAGTTCCACCTTTCTAACCGTGAAGCCGGCAGCTGCATGTGACATTTAAAAGGTGGGGGAATCAGCAGAAGGCCTTCACTTGCTGAGTTCTACACCACTGGCAAAGTGGATCAAACAGAAGGAAAACTTGCTCCTCATTTCCCCACTGAATGGCATTTAGAAACACCTGCTGGAGAAGGGGCTGGGCAAACACCATAAAGCAGACAGGAGGCCCTGCACAGGAAACAAGGAGCCGAATACCGGTTAGCATATCAGCATGGCCAGTGTCCTCCATCTAACAGCTCAGCTTCTCCTGCATAACTAAGGTTGTCGGGCAGCAGACGCACCATGGCAGTTCTGGCCTCGAGCTGGCTGCAAGAACGCACTCCACCCATCCCGGGGCTCTGGTCCTCCCAATACTTCTATGCCTGCCTCTTTCTGTGTGCTTGCTGCAGATCTGGCTATGGTGAGCGCTTGAGCTTGCAGCTCCTGGGTCAGTGGCTTCTCTCATAATGTGAAGCAGCTGGGCAGAGGGAAACAGTGACAAAGGTAGCACCTATTATTACTCTTTTTTTTTTTTAATAAATTCACATACTCACGATATAGTTGTTTTAAGTTAAAAAAAACAACTAAAGTTCTGGTTGAGTGTCTCTCCAACAATAGGGAATGTTCATTCTAGTCTCAGAACATGTGTCAAGTTCATGATCCATCTCCTTCTATTCATGCTTTCTCTTCTGAGGCAAGCAATCAAAGACAAGGGGGCAGCCCAGCATGCAGTTCATGGGGCTTTGGGGACATGTTGGCCAAGAGAGGAGAAACAAATGGTTTCCACTGGCTAGTAGTCAGGAGGTAGCAGCCATCACTGTATACAACCTCCTTCTACTTGGCAGACCCTGGCATGCTGTCTCGTCATGGCTCGATTTCAGATTCCATTAAAGCCGTCTTTAAATAGAA